AACATGTCACAGAGACACAAAGTGAGCACATGCTAGTGGGATAATGACACCAGTAGACTTGCTCAATGCAGGATGCCACAAAACTTCAATTTGTAAAAAATGCCATGCTACAAAGCACTATAAACAAGGCATGCAGTATATTTGTAACCCAAATCCTATACAGGGTCACTATGAGTAGGAACTGACTTGATGACACATAACAACAGCAACAACAATGAACAAAAATGCTACCTAGGTGCTAGGTTTTTGTATTTCATTTCAGAAATGATAGCTGGAATTCACTTGAAACAAGGCAAAGTGATCTGAATCAGCAAAAAGAGGAAAGAAAATAAAGTCCTTTTGAAAATAACTCCCCAAACCAAAATCGCTGCTATCAAGTTGATTTTGACTCATAGAGATCCTGTACAGGATTGTGGGGACTGTAAACCTTTAGGGAAGCAGAAAGCCTTTAGAATGGATGAGTCAAAAAACACAAATCTTTTCTTTTTTTTTTTTTAAACCATGAGGAAAATCTGATTAATAAAAGATTTCTTACTGTCTTCTCCCTCTAGTGGAAGAGGGAGGCACAACCTTGCCATGAGGCTAATTCTTATACATTTAGGGGGAAAAAAAGTTTAGGAAACATAAAAATGAAAATGCTTACTTTTGAGTCTAGCTTTTTCAGCTGGATCCAGAGCAGCGACTGGCTCAGACACTCGGGAGGGTAAACCTATTCCATTATTATTCACAGCTCGAACCCGGAATATATAGGAGCGTCCTTCTATCAATCCAGTGACTGGGAAACGGGCAAACTTCACAGGTGTGTCATTGCATTGAGACCAGGTATCTGTGCCAACCTCACATCTAAGGGAAAGAAGGAAGTTGAAAAAATGTTAAAAGAAGTCTGTAGTGGACACTGAGCTAAGGGTGATGGGAAAATCCAGGAAGAATTAGTGGTGATGTTTGAACTAGATGATGAACATAATTAACTTCACTGAAGGGTACATGCGAAGGTTGTAGAAATGGCAAGTGTGTTGTCATTTATATATGTAACACAACAAAAATGATAAAAAGAAAAGAAAATGTAAAATAAATAAAATGAAGTCTGACTAAATATGAATAAATAACTCCAAAGCTGCCAACCCTCCCTATCGCTTCAGAGCTTCTCTCTATAAAATACCCAAGAGAGGTTTGCCAAATATGTAACTGAAGCTACTCAGTTCTATTTAACTGTGTCTACTTTATCTGCTCCCGTAAAGATTTACAGCCTCGGAAACCCTATTCAGGGTCGCTATGGGTCGAAACCGACTCGACGGCACTTAACAACAACAACAACTTTAACAAAAAGGAGCTCTGGTAGCGTAGTGGTTACAAGTCAGGCTGCCAACCTCAAGGTCAGCAGTTCAAAACTACCAGCTGCTCCACAGGAGAAAGATGAGGCTTTCTGCTTCCATAAAGATTTGCAGCCTTGGAAACCCTGTGCAGGGTCACTGTGAGTTGGAACCAACTCCACAATACAACAACAACAACAACAACTTGAACAAAAAGAAAGCACTGTCAGATGCTTCCGAACACACATACGCTCTTTGAACTCATTAAAAGCAGCAGGGAAAGAACTCTGTTCTTGGAGGGAAACAGAAGCAAGCCCAAGCCAGTATCTATCATCTTTACATTTGTGACTTAGAGAGGAAGGCTCCCTCAAATATCTCCCTTGCCAATGTCTTCAGTTCCAACAGTACTGATTCTTTTCTTTCCCTTTTTTAGGCATTTTCTGTTCACAAATGGCACTAATGCTAAGAAAGCAGACACTGTAAAAGATGCTGATTTGCACTGTAGTTTGGAAATATCATCCCATATTTCACACTTGGTGATCACTCCATCTTGTGAGGGTGAAAGGTATTGTACTATGTTTGTTTTTTTACAGATGAGACTGAGATGCAGAGAGACTCCCAGGTCTGTCAGGAAAAGATTAAGTGCTTGAAACTTCTGATTTCTAATTAGATGCTCTTACAGCAGCTGTTACCTAGGACGGAGTAGGTCCCATGCTTCCAGAGAGCTGAAGATGACAGTTTGTATTACATGATTAGCCTGCTCACAGGGTTTCGGGGGTCCAAGGTATGACTGAATTATACAGTATTAGGATTACATAACTCCTGTTCATCTTTTTTTTTTTTTTTCAATAAGAGCACTGAAATTTTCATTATATTACTTATTCGACATGACTCTATGTCCTAAATGTCCAATTCTCTGGTGGTTCTCATGTGGAAGTGTTGATTAGTGATAGTGGTTATGATAGGAAATTCTTTCTATCCTTCCCCACCATCATCCTTCTGTTCTGTAATATCAATAAAAATTTTCTCAACCTTACCTAGAAAGTGCTAAGGAGTTCTGGTAGCAAAGCAAGTGGTTACAAGTTAGGTCGCTAATCTCAAAATCAGCAGTTCAAAGCTACCAGCAGTTCCACAGGAGAAAGATGAGGCTTTCTGTTCCTGTAAAGATTTACAGCCTCGGAAACCCTATGCAGGGTTGTTATGAGTTGGAACCGACTCCATGGCACACCACCACAACCTAAAATGCTATCAGATACAGCTTTAATTCCTGACTTCTACTTATTCCCTCTACATTGTAGAAACTCGGTTGCCACTATGGGTAGGTTTATGGGAGCAGGAGTTGAAAGGGTGAGGGTGATTTTTCAAATGACCCCTGTCTCCAGAGGTTCTACTTAGACACTCCTTTCTCTGTCCTGATGCTGCCACTGTGATCCAATGACTTGGGAGAGCACTTCATGAGGGCAGGAAGAGGGTGGAGGACCCTGGTTCTAGACACTTCTACAGTGTGTTGGAGCAGAAAAAGCTCAAGATTACATACCAACAGGCTGATATTTGAATGGCAGTTTTGCTACTTACCACATGTGTGACCTTGTTGTTGTTATTGTTAAGTACTGTTGAGTTGCTTCCTACTCATAATGACTCTCTATAGGGATTCCGAGGCTGTTAATTTTTACAGGAGCAGAAAGCCTCATCTTTTTCCCATAGAGCGGCTGGTAGGCTTGAACTGTTGACCTTGTGCCTATCTTACGGAGCCATCGCATTCCCTGTGTGACATTATGTGAGTTATTTTTTAAATGCTTTATCTAAAGAGCCTGCTTATGTCTGACAGTCAGACCAACGGCTTAGAGCAATAGGGACTATTCAATTTTCCAGAGTGATTGTCGCCCAGAATTCACAGCCATATTTTATACTGTATGGTAGTTAACCTTGTCTTTGGAGTCCTGGTGTGGTGCTGTAGGATAGCACTGGACTGCGAACTGCAAGTTGGTGCTTCAAACCCACCAGCTGCTATGAATCTGGACCAACTAGATGGCACGTAACAATAACAGAGCATGACCTGCCATGATTAGACATACCATATATATACATATTTTATAAATAGCATGCTCATACAAATAATATGCCCAAACACATAATGCATGGGAATGAGGAAATTAAGTAAAACAGTTCTGGCAGGTCTCGAGACATTTTCAGAGGTGAATTTCGGTTGCATTCATCTAACTTCCTATATTACAGGTTAATCATACTGCTCTGTTTGTTTTCTTTTATGTCCTGCTTATGAGTCACCTGAAAGTGTTACTTTTGATCACAGTAGTATAATAAAGCTATGTGCCATGGTCAAGAAGTCACGAATAAAGTTTGTTGTTGTTAAGTGCCGTTGAGTCGGTTCGGACCCATAGCGACCCTGTATCGGGTTTCCAAGGAGCGAATGGTGAGCTTGAACCACTGACCTTGTAGTTCAAACAGCTATGCAGTCTGGCGCATTAACCCACAGCGCCACACCAGGACTCCATAGTTTGGTAGCCCTTGGTAATCAGAAAACAAATAAATAAAAAATTTACGTTGATAATTATAATGCATTAGCTCAACAGTTGAATGTAAAAATCTTATCAGATCATCTCAAGTGAAACCATTAGATTATGTTTGGTGGTTATTTCGGAGTTTAATTATGTCTTCTTAGTATCCATGAAAGTCAGCAACATGCTTTTTTAAAAAATGGGATACTTGCAAAAATCACATGCTATTGGGGGGCATGGTTGGCAAAACAACAACAACAACAAAAACCCATGTAATTTATGTGTTATTGGTAAAAATACAGAGCATTTCTGAAACATGGTCAGGAGCACTGTTTCATACTAAGAACTTGAGAAGGATGAACTTTGTTCACTGTAAACTTGAACAGAAGCCAATGCTGGTCTTCAGATGTGAGGCGTAGCTCTACGTTGGGGAATAGCTAAGGGAAGGGGACTTCGCAGTGAAATCAGAATGAAAACGAGGGATAGGATTGCCTAGGCTGGTGCTTAGAGCCCAGGCTCCAGAGGTCGGACTGGCTGACTCAAACCCAGGTTTCCTCTCTAGCATGTAGTCTTCAGTTGGTTACTCATTTCCTACTTGTAGCAATAGTACCTTCCTCAAAGGGTAGTTATTTAGATGAAATGGTTATCATATGTGAAATGTTTATATTTGGATTAAATGGTGAATACATGTGAAGTGTTTAAAACAGAGTGGCGCTATGGGTTAATGCGCTAGACTGCAAAGTTGGTTAGTACCATGAGGTTGGCAGTTCAAGTTCACCAGCTGCTTTTTGGAAACCCTATACTGGGTCACTATGGGTCAGAACTGACTCAACAGAACTTAACAACAACAACAAATGGTTGTTTTTATTATGGCTAAGACAAGAGAACAAAATGTACTGATTCTCTCTGGTCTTTCACTGATCAAAGTTTGCAAATACCTTGGAAGTTTTCCAAAGACTAGTAAAATATAAACTGTACGTATGAAAAAAGTGGACCTAAACCTTCACAGTTCAACATTATTAAATAATGAAATAATCTAGAAGCACTTGTTGTTACGTGCTGTTAAGTCGGTTCCAACCCACAGTGACCCTGTATAGGGTTTCCGAGGAGTTGCTGGAGAGCTTGAACCACTGACTTTGTAATTCAAATCGACTTTGCAGTCCAGTGCATTAAGCCGCGCAGCACCACACGAGGACTTCAGAAGTACTTAGTACTTTGCTAAATATTATATATATTTCTCTAAATATATACTAAATGTTTAGATTTACTGTAAGAGTACAGATAAACATACTAAATGAACACTAACTAGTTCTCTGGATGGTATTGAGCCCACAGGCTTCAGGAATGGACATATATTTATTTATTGCTAGAAATATTAGATTTTATACACCTTGGTACAAACCTATTGATCTGTTCCTAGTAGTTTCTATCTGGTAGCATAGTGGTTACGAATCGGGCTGCGAACCTTAAGGTCAGCAGTTCAAAACTACCTGCTGTTCCGTGGGAGAAAGATGAGGCTTTCTTCTCCCGTAAAGATTTACAGCCTCGGAAACCCTGTACAGGGTCGCTATGGGTCGGAACCGACTCGATGGCACTTAACAACAACATAAATATTAGATTTTATACACCTTGGTACAAACTTATTGATCTGTCCCTAGTAGTTTCCATAATCAATTTCATTACTCAAAAATGAAAGAGAATTAGAGCAATTGTTTGAGTAGAAACTAAGTTTGAGAACAATAAGTTTACGTCAGTCTTCTCAATTTGTTGTCTGTCTAAATTTACTGGATAACTAATGTGTAAAACCCATTTACTCTAAAAAGCTGAGCTGCTAAATTTTGGAGAATGTAAATGGCAAGAATTTGTCAATGAACATAATTTAATATCATTATTTTTGTTGTTATATCCCATAATGTAATTAAAATTTTGTCAGCATTTCTAAAATCAATATTCTTAAGTTACTGACATACTGTTATTTCTGTTAAGTGCTGTTGAGTCAGTTCCAAATCATAGTGACTGTATATAGGATTTCTGAGGCTGTAAATTTTCAGGGGAGCAGAAAGCCTCATCTTTCTCCTGACTGATATAGTAGGCATATGGGTATGAGATGCGTTGAATACTAACTATTGAATTTTCAAAGTGGCCTCTATTAGATGAGAAATTTATAACATTCCTGCCAAATTAATTACTTGAGGTTGTTGTTGTTAAGTGCCATTGAGTCGCTTCTGACTCATAGCAACCCTGAAAAGAGTTTACATGGAGCAGCTGGTGAGCTTGAACTGCCAACCTTGTGGTTCAAGCTGACCTTGCAGTCCAGCACATTAACCTACAGTGCCACACCAGTACCACTGAAGATGGTAGTCAAATGCAAAGATTATCTCTGGAACAGAGATAGGTAGATAGGGTTGAAGTCATTTGATACAGATATAGATATGTAGAGAGATACACAGATACAGAGAGTGAAAAAAGGAATTTCACCTAAAATTAGTGGGTTAAATCAAGCATGTATCTCTATGACCAAAGAACTTGAACTTGAACTGACTGAAGTTAAGGTATGCACTGACTTATCAATAAAATATCCCAGAATAGGACTTCCTCCATCAACAGCTGGCTGTTTCCAAGAGATGATGATAAAATCTTTGTTGGCATCTAGGGGCATCACATCCAAAGGAGAAGCTGGCGCACCCTTAATCTCTGCATCAGCATCTGGGAAGATAGAGAAAGATCCCATTAACACTCTGTCAGCTCAGCAGGCTGAAGTCTCAGTGAACACATTCCTTGCAGCACCACCATACTGGCTACATCTTTGGCAAGCTTCAATCTTGCAACTTGTTTACTGACATCACAATGTGTACTTTTCATCTTCAATCGGAAGCACATTAGGTAAGAACATAGAGAAGGCCCTGAAAATGACCCCTGACCTTTGCCTCAGGGACCTTGCCTGCCCAAAATGTTCTGAAAGAAAATTACTAAATAGAGATATGGTGGAGATTGTTATCGGTTCAAGGTAAGTTGTGCCAGGAAGTCTGTTCTTATAACATTTATTGTGCAATGTTACTACTTGGAAACTATGAAAGGCTTAAAAGGAAGCAAACAGCCCCTCCTTTCACCTTTTGGATGCATCTGCAAGAGAAAAACAACCACGGAGTTTTGCCCATCCCATTGTGGAAGAGAAAGAAAAACATTTGTTTTGATCAAATGTTTGTTCCCAAACTGAAGATACTTATGAGAGGATTGTGATGCAATACTCACATCAAAACTCAGTTTATCTGAGTTTAGTAAAAGTCCAGGATTAAACAACAGACTGGGGACAATGATTGTTTATGAAATGGGATCTTCAAACAGTAGGTCCCTTCAGACACAGTGTCCTTAAGCATGGTAAAATGAGTGAATCAGAGTGTTTTGGGGAGAGGACAGGGAATGAAAATATTCCACTTGTAATCTTTTAAGTGAGAACTATTAAGATAAGAGGCAGAGTTCAGGGTGTGGGGAGGCCCACATTTGCCAATTTCTCCTGACATTTGACCAATTCTTCATAAACAGAGCTAGTAGGAGAAGAAGGTGACATGGAGAAGCCATTCACTGAGGGAAAACACTCTTGCTGATCGAATAAACACTCTTCTATGATCTGCACTTCTGCAACTTTAATGAGCTACCCAAACATTTGATAATGTGGCAGAAGTTAGTGCATACTTCTGAATTTAATAGGTCTGAATGGCCTGTGATGGACTCCAGTAATAGTGGTCTTGAACATTCATTTCTGGTCCCGAGAATCCGGTGGGAAATTGTCACTAGGCTCTTATTTCCTGCACAAGTGCTATGTTGTTGTTGTTAAATGCCGGTTCTGACCCATAGCGACCCTGTATAGAGTTTCTGAGGAGTGGCTGGCGAGCTTGAACTACCGAGTGCTACGTTGTTTTTGTTGCTATGTGCCTTAAAAAGGTAAACAAAGCGACCCTGTACAGCGTTTCTGAGGCTGTAAATCTTTATGGGAGTAAAAAGCCTCATCTTTCTCCCACGGAATAGCTGGTAGTTTCGAACTGCAGACCTTGAGGTTCGCAGCCCGATTTGTAATCACTACGCTACCAGAGCCCCTTTGGCTCCCTGGCAGGGAATTGAACCTTGGTCTCCTGCATGACAGGCGGGGATACTCACCACCATACGGAGTGCTATAGGAGACAGTAACTAGATCATCCTGCCTAAAACTAGATGTAGGGTACTGGAGCATTGTGGGAAGGAAATTCTTTCCTTTGGGGACACTGGGTTGATGGTGGTGGCTGTGGTGGTGAGTGGTGGTGGAGCAGGTTAGAATGGGGTAGAGATGCAGAGACTGTCTCACACAATGGCAGGAATGCTGCTGCTAGAAAGCGACTCAGCAGCCAGAGGGACAGACGAGAACCCATAATCACGTTCTTTTGTTAAATGCCATAATGTAACAACCAGCAATTCCTGCACTGATAGGGCAGTTTGGCTGGCACCCATCATGTAGATGTACAGTAGCATGGATAGCTGTAAATGAACCTGGCAGACGAGAGGCATTTTGGGAGCCAGTTTTCAGCATTTCTATGAAATTTCTTGTTGCTACTGTTAGGTGCCAGCAAATCAGTTCTGATTCATAGTGACCCTGTTCAGGGTTTCCAAAAAGTGGCTGGTGGGTTTGAACCACCAGTGTCTGAGTCGAAACTGACTCAACAGCACTTAACAACAATAGCAATAGCACTTTATTCACAGATCATTATGATTCTGAAGTTATTTTCTAGCTAACAAAAATGTCAGAACTCTAAAACAATATATTAAAATGGCCTCATGTAGCTCAATAGATACAAAGGCTTTAAAAAAAGAATATTATTTAAAAGTTTCTTAAAAAGGTAAACATAAATTTATCACATGATCTAGCAATTCCACTCATGAAGTCTTAACCTGAGAGAAATGAAAACATATGTTCATGAATGTGAATGAAATGCTCATAGAAGCATTGTTCATAGTAGCCAGAGTGGAAATAATCCAACTATCTACCAACTGGTGGCTAGACAGAAGTGAGGTAGAAGCTACACATTGGGACACAAGTTAGCAATAAAAAGGAATAAACTACTTATAAGCATTACAACGTAAATAAAGCCCAAAAACGCAGGGTTCAGTGAATAAAGGCAGAAGTACAGGGTTTCCAAAAAGTAGCTGGTGAGTTTGAATTCGCAACCTTGCGGTTCAGACCAGCTTTGTAGTTCAGTGCTTATTCTATAGTGTCAAGTAGGAAATGCTATGGGACAATTCTACTCTGTTCTATGGGTCCCTACATTCAACTCAAAGTACGACAGCCAATAACAAGGGTTGGGGTGAGGGTGAGTATGTGTGATGGTCCCATATTGAAATCTCTTTGAAGTGATAGAATGTTCTAAATCTGCATTGTGTGTGATCATTTTACAACTCTCTCAATATTGAGAAAAAAGCCTAGAATTGTATTTGTAATGTGTGATTTTTATGGTACATAAATTAAACCTCAGTAAAAACAGCTTCGATAAAACAATCTTCAAAGTATGATTAAAATAAATTTATGAGTGAAATCTTTTTCTAAACGTTGTGAAATTTACAATGTGATTGCTTAAGTTTATCTTTCCAATTTTATCATTTCAATTCACACACATTGGCATCAGATGCAGTTGAGAAACTATTTCTATTTCCTTGTTTTGTGGATGTGAAAACTAGCTTAAGTATAAATTTCAAATTTTAACACTTTACCCCGGTAAATAATTAGTAATCTGGTGTTTGTGCTAAATCTGGCAGAGATATACAATTCTGGGGGTGAGCTCTGAGAAACATTATAAACCAAGACCTAGATTATGCCAGTCTTTCTAGAAAGAGTCCATGAAGGAAGCACGATGACATTACTAAATTTTCTCAACGAGTAGATCCTCACTGCAAAAGACATTCTATGGTTTAAGGTTAGGGTTGGAAAAGACTACTTACTCAGTTCTCATTGAGCCAATGTATATAGACGGTTTGAATATGCAAATTTACTTGTTGATAAGTTCCAATATGTCAGTTTTCACTGCAATTTACTCCGAAGACTTGTTCCTATCTTCCCTCAGTGATATCTGATTCTTCCCATAATACTTTTGTGGATAAAGTCTGAAGCATTTTTCATATGTTATATATAATCATATTTGGGTCCACAATCAACACCCATGGAAGCAATAGGGAAGAAATGAAATAAGGTATTGCATTGGACAAATCTACTGCAAAAGACCTCATTAAAGTGTTAAAAAGCAAATATGTCACTTTGAGGAATAAGGCGCACCTGACCCAAGTTATGGGCTTTTCAGTCACCTCATATACATTAGAAAGCTGGACAGTTGAGAGGAACAACGGACACATTTGAATCACAGTGTTGGTGGAGAATATTAAATAAACCATAGACTGCCAGGAAAGCAAACAAATCTATCTTGGAAGAAGTATAGCAGAATAGTCCTTAAAAACAAGCATGATGAGACTTTGTCTCACGTACTTTGGACGTGTCCCCAGGAAGGACCAGACCCTGGAGAAAGACATCATGCTTGGAAAGTAGAAGGTTAGTGAAAAAGAGGAAGACCTTCAATGAGATGAATCGGCACAGTGGTTGTAACAACGGCGCAAGCATTGTGATGATAGCACACGCGTCTGTATTGCTTTGTTCTGTTGGGCTTAAGTCAGACCAGACTAAATGGCATCTAACAGCACCATGTTGTTGTTAAGTGCCGACGAGTCAGTCCGACTCATATGACGATGTATAGGATTTCCGAGGAACAGCTGGTGGGTTTGAACTGCCACCTTGTGGTTCACAGTTCAGTGCTGATCCCACAGCGCCCCACCGGGACTCCAACAACAACAACATGGTTATGTGCCGTGGAGTTGGTTCCGACTCATAGCGACCCTGTACAGGGTTTCTGAGGCTGTGAATTTTTACGGGAGCAGAAAGCCTCATCTTTCTTCCGCGGAACAGCTGGTAGTTTCGAACTGCTGACCTTGAGGTTCGCAGCCCGATTCATAACCACTACACTACCAGAGCTCCTTAACAACAACAACATAAATATTCATAATCTTTACTAGTTATTGGTACATCATGGAATTCAATGATAAGTTGTTACTGATCCGTACTGGTGTAGTGGTGGTGGTGGTTATGTGCTGTGGAGTCGGTTGCGACTCATAGCGACCCTGTAGAGGGTTTCTGAGGCTGTAAATCTTTGTGGGAGCAGAAAGCCTCATCTTTCTCCCACTGGACAGCTGGTAGTTTTGAACTGCTGACCTTGCGGATTGCAGCCCAATTCGTAACCACTACGCTACCAGAGTTCCAGTGTAGACTGCTAATTGTCCCCCAGTATCCATTCTTTTCTTGTTCTTTTTAGAACTACACTTTTAGGTTTAGAAAGAACATGGCTGCCCATCTAGAAATTACACTCCCTCGATTCCCTTGCCATGAGACATGTGCATGTGGCTAGAGCTCACCATAGAGGGAGCAGAAGTGATATCTGCAACGCTGCATCTATCCTTCACTTCCTTCTCCTCTCTTCTTCATTCCACAGGTTGGAATAGGACATGGTGCTGGACCATAGGGAACAGCAACATAAATGGGGCCTGAATGATTTCATTGAGCGGAACCATCTGGATAATCTCCCTACCTCTTGACTGACAGACAAAAAAGAGTAATAAACTTCAGGTGGTTGTTTTCTTTGGACAACTTAATCTATAAACTTAAAAAAAAAAAAAAAAAAAAAAAGCCCAAATCCATTGCCATTGAGTCAATTCCAACTGAGCTCCACTGGGTTTTCTTAGCTTCAGTCTTTACAGATGCAGATTATCAGGCCTTTGGTTCATGGCCCCTCTGCCAACTTTTCAATTAGTCATCCATCGCAAACTGTACTTAAAATACCCGGTGAGGCATTAGAAAATCAGTATCTTGGTTCCATTTCTGTTTCTGTGAGGATTTTGTTATATTACTTATATGGTATGTGGTGCTGTGGGTTAATGCGCCAGACTGCAAAGCCATTTGAACTTCAAGGATGGCAATTCAAGCTCACCAGCTGCTCCTTGGAAACCCTATACAGGAGTTCTGGTGTGGTGCTAAACTGCAAAGTTACTTTGAACTTCAAGGATGGCAATTCAAGCTCACCAGCTGCTCCTTGGAAACCCTATACAGGGTCGCTATGAGTCGGAATCTAATCGACGGCATTTAACAACAACAACAACAACAACACTTACATGGTATATTACTTTTGGAGTCCTGGTGTGGCTCTGTGGGTTAATGTGCTGGACTGCAAGGTCGGTTTGAACCACAAGGTTGGTGGTTCAAGCTCATCAGCCACTCCTTGGAAACACTAAACAGGGTTGCTATGAGTCGGAATAAACTCGATGGCACTTAACAATAACAACAACAATCCTTGTCAGTTGGTGTGGCATTGTAGGATAACCAATGGACCATCAGTAGGTTTGAACTGCAAAGTTGGCAGTTCAAACTCACCAGCTGCTCCTTGGAAGTCCTGTTATCAGGTTGCTATGTGTAGTAAATGACTAGATGGCACTTAGCATCAACAACAACAACAACAACAACATGTGTAGCCAGCAAGTGTTAATGGTCTTCCATATAAGTGTCAGGGTCCCATGTAGAAATAACAGTCCTATCTGAACATATCCACTGGAAAAAAAAAAAGATTCCTATCATCAACAATTATGGTGATGGTGATGTGCCATGGAGTTAGTTCCAACTCATAGCGACCCTGTACAGGGTTTCTGAAGCTGTAAATCTTTATGGGAACAGAAAGCCTCATCTTTCTCCCACCGAACAGCTAGTAGTTTCGAACTAATTACCTTGAGGTTCACAGCCCAATTCGTAACGACTATGCTACCAGAGCTCCTAATCAACAATTATAGTTCCTCTTAAAAGCTAAGTTGTACCACCTTGTTTCCTAGCTCACTAAAGCTCAAGCTATAAAGAAGATACCAGGAGTAAAATAATAAACTTGCTCCCCAAAATAGATATGAAAGAATAAATCCCAAAGTAACACATCTCTACCATTACAGCTTCCAGATGAGATGCTTTTTCTTATCTTTAGGATTAGCGCCTCTACTCGAGCACCCATAGAAAACTGTGCTGGGAGTGTGTTGAAGATGAGAAAAGTCCTGATATTATTGCTAATAGCATGGTCTGGAAATCAGTCACTTTTGTGTTGGTGCCTTAAGGGTTCACCTTTTATATTAGGTCTGAATTCATTGGAAATTAATATCCTGTCCCATAAAATTTAGAAGACTTTTCAAATGGCTCTTTCATTTGAAACAAAAAATAAAATATGTTTTAGTAGATTGATTTGGCTTCAGAATTCTATGTGCTCTTGAATTGTGCTTTGTGCTAGGTCTTACCTCGAACAAAGACATAAGCACTGTATTGTTCATAATACTCTCCCATTCGCACACGTATTGTATAGAGGCCTTCATCTTCTTTGTTGAGATGAGAAAATGTCAGTGTTGCCCGATCTCCACTCCAGTGTGCCTGCACCCATTTTGATGGAGAAATAGGTGCTCCTAGAATTTAAAAGAAAAAAGGTAAGCAAATTAACATTTTCCTAATTTCCTTTCTTCTTCCTCTTTCCCCCTCTTTTTCTCATAGTCTCTATTAAAAGCTAATTGACTCTCACAGAAAGTCTCTGTGCTTTGGGTCATCCTGTCAAAGTGCTACACTAGAAGTGAGGGGGTCAAGGTCTGATACAGAATTTGCAGGAATCAATACAAAATGAAATTGCAAGTCCTCTTGCTCAAAAAGCAGAGAGAATGTGCAATTATAGGTACTACAATATACTTTTTCCTTTAAATTATTTTTTATAAAACATAAAAGGGATAATATAAATTGCCAAAAATATTTTGATGTCAAATTTTATATATCATATTTTATTAATATAAAATCTTGATCGATAATATCCCTGGCTCACTTTTCTGCAAATTCATTTACTAGGTCACTAAAATGTGTACTTTTAGCAGCTTTATTTTAAAAATTGATATAATTGAAAGCAACGTTATTCATTCTCTGTAAATGCAAGATCCCAAATAATTTTCTATAATATTTTATTTTGAGAAAAATCTATCTGCTGATGCAACTGTTTCTGAGACTGTTAAGAGTATCATATGTTGTTGTTGTTAGTGCCATGGAGTTGGTTTCAACTCATAGGGGCCCTCCCTGGAGAGGATATCTTTGTGGGCTAAAGGGATGTAGAAAGGTTGGAGAAAGTATAGATTTTTTCAGTGAGGTTAACTTTTTAAAAGTTCTTCATTAGACTTTGATCAGAGACATACAGTAACTGGACATAAAGGGAGAGCAATAGGGTCTTAAGATTGGTTCTTCTAGAGTGTTGCTGGGTGATGTTGGACTGTTTCTTATTATCTCTGGATTTTGTTTTTTCTTTGTCTATTGGATGAGATAATCTGGTGTAGAAACTCAGTTCTTCTGTATCTAAGATTTATGATACTATTTTAGATATCACATTATTTCTTTAAGTCCAATGATTCAACAAATCAACTTGTTTTGACAGCTTTCTTGCTTGGTTTGGTTTCCTTTGACTTTGGAGCATTATCTAAGCCTTTAAAAAGACTTCCACCCAAATATGACATATGTTGTTGTTATTAAGTATTGTGGAGTCATTTCCAACTCCTAACGACCCTGTATAAGGTTTCCGAGGAGCGACTAATGGGTTCGAACTGCTGACCTTGTGTCTATCAGTCCAGTGCTGATCATATTGTGTGCCACACTTGTTTCTTGCTCACACCAAAATGACTCTAGGCCCTTTTGAAACAAAATATGACTAAATTGTGATTGAAAGGCAAATAAACTAACAATGGAAAAGATTGTGATTCTGTTCCTCCCACCTCAGTTTTAATAGAATCTTGAAAAAAGAGGATAATTTAATCTACTTTTGTATCCTTGAACGTAAGGATGAATATTTTATCTGCAGAAAATACCAGAAATTTCAAACCATAAAGAGCCTATAACACCTTTGAACAAGAGCACCAAGGTCTGAATTTCCTCTTAATTTATTCTGCTGAATAATTAGGTTTTGAAAGAAGTTTCACACAGTTCTTATTGTATAAATAATAAGTTTATGAGGAAGCGTATTTTACCAAATAAGTTTAAAAATAAATAAACATTACTTTGTAATTCTGTCTACTTACCACTTGGTGATAAGAAAATATAATCTCCAAAAAATATCAGAGGGCTTCAAAAAGCTTGTGGGAAAATTCCAAGATTTTTAATTCCATTTTTTTCCATGATCTTTTTAAGCCCCTTCATATATTATTAATGTTTTGTACTTTAAACAACAATATGTAAACCATTGTTGTTAAGTGCCATTGAGTCAGTTCCAACTCAGCTACCCTATATAGGATTTTGGCTGCTGGTTTGGAACCACCAACCTTGCAGTGTATGGAATATATGGAGAGTCCTGGTGTGTATATGAAGTCCTGGTGTAGTGCTGTAGGGATAATTACTGGACTGCTAACCACAAGGTCAGCAGTTCAAACCCACCAGCCCCTCATTAGAAACCCTAAAAGAGGGTCCTATGGGTTGGAACCAACTTGATGTCCTTAACAACAACAGCAAATATATTTATGTGTATGTGTGTGATTTGTGTGTGTGTGTGTGTGTGTATATATATATATATACACACAAATCACACACACATGCATATATATTGTTGTTGTTTTTTATATATATATATAAACTTACTTTTAAAGCATAAATAGGTTATCACCTCTAACTTCCAGATTACTCCAACTCTGATAACAGATCTGCATATATGGACACAGGTTAGGCCTGAGGAACTAGCCTGAAGCCTTCATCAAACAGAGGCTTCAATAGAGACTGATAAAGACTCACCATTTCTGTACCACTGGACCTCTGGCTGGAAAGTTTTAATTTCGGGAGTGATAACTACACGGCAACCTAGACTCATCGTTTCACCCTCTCTCCCAAAAGACACATCAAACTTGTCATCAAAATGGATCTCAAACTTGGATGCATAACCAAAAGGGGTAACAGCAGCTGTGTACAACAAAAGCAATTGTTAATAATTTATCTCTTCTCATCAAAGAGACACAGACCATTTTAATAAACATAACTATGAAACAGTCCTATCAAAGACTGATCAAATTATTTATTTGACATAAATTAAGCCTTATATAAGAAGTATATAGTACATAAGTATATATCATTTGAATAGAAACTCTTGCTTCAATAGTCAGATTAGGTAAATATTTCTTTTTATTATTATAATGAATATAAGTTAAAGAGCTTGGTTGAATTTCTTAAATAAAATGCAAATCAGTAAACATTTCACTTAAACTTAAATACTTAGCAGCAATATGTGCATTTTAAAATTCTAGATTCTGAGTCCATTTAAACTCTTATACTCTTGGGACAAAATAGCCATATCAATTATACCTGAAAGTAGAGTTTTTTCAGCAAGTTACTTCAGTGTCTTTAATGATTAGAGAAAAATTATTATAAGAAATGGTAATGTAAAAAAACACAAAACATTCAAAATACAACTTCAAAAGATAATTCTTGTTTATAGATTGAGTTAATGTCTGCATCATAAACTCTCATTTTTTTTTTTTTTTTAAGGAAAAACCTTTGGAAAGGACTAAAAGAAAAAAACCTTTTTTTTTTTTTTTTTTTAAGGAAAAACCTTTGGAAAGGACTAAAAGAAAAAAACCTTCAAAGGAACAAGGTTCAGGAGAGTAATGATTATTTATTGAAAGGTTATTGTATGCTTTATAACTTGTACTTTATATTTGATTGTCATATAATCTTTGTAACAATGTCATGGCATAAATCGAAAAACCCACTACCATTGGGTCAATTTCAGCTCCCAGCAACCCTGTTGGGTAGAGTAGAATTGCTCCATAGGGTTTTGGAGACTATGAATCTTTTATGGAAACAGACTATCTCATCTTCCTCCTGTGGAGTGGCTGATAGGTTCCAACCATTGACATTTTACTTAGCGGTTCAGTGCTTAACACCCAGATATTGTTTTTTCCTTTCTTCAGGTGTGGATATGGAAATTCGCAAAAGTAATATACTGATAATGCCAAAGTTTCACAGGTAAAACTATCGAAAACAAAACAAAAACAAATTCACTGCCAGAGAGTTGATTCCAACTCATAGTCACTCTGTGTATGAAGATGAGTTTCACAGGTTGTTGTTGTTAAGTGCCATCGAGTCTATTCTGACCCATAGTGACCCTGACTGGGTTTCCAAGGAGCAGCTGATGAGCTTGAACCACCAACCTTGCAGTTCAAATGACTTTGCAGTCTGACTCATTAACCCACAGCGCCACACCAGGACTCAAAAACTTAGGTGTTGTTGTTGTTAAGTGCCGTCGAGTTGATTCTGACCCATAGTGACCCTGTATGGGGTTTCCAAGGAGCAGCTGGTGAGCTTGAACCACCAACCTTGCAGTTCACACAACTTTGCAGACTGATGCATTAGCCCACAGTGCGACACCAGGACTCCGAGTTTCGCAGGTAGCATGTGTAAAACTGAAATTCAAATCCATATCTGCCTAACTCTAAAACTTGGGACTTTATCATATTTTGTTCCCCTTCCTAAGACCTGTGAGTATTAACTTGAAAATGTAAGCTAACATTTATTGAATTCAATTACTGCCACATACTGTTCCAAGTCCTGGTGTGGAGCTGTGGGTTAATGTACTGGACTGCAAGGTCGGTTTGAATGCAAGGTCGGAGGTGCAAGCTCACCAGCCACTCCTTGAAACTGACTTGACGGCACTTAACAACAACTGTTCCAACTATTTAATATCAATTAAGCCACACAATCACCCTATCAGGTAAGTACTATTGCTATCTATATTTTATGGATGAGGAAGCAGCAGAGTAGGAAAGCTAAATAACCTCAGAGCTCAGGGTTCACCTCAGAGAGCCAGGATTTACACTGAAGGCTGTTTCCAATGAACATTTGTACTGCCTTTAATTTTTATCTCTCAGGAATGCCATCCCAACCACACATTGGACTGCCTTTAATTTTTTTTTCAACTTTTTATTGTGAATTGAGTGAAGGTTTACAGAGCAGATCATTAGTTTTACATTCAACAAAATCATGTACTTTGCTTCATTACATGGTTGCAATTCTCTCCATGTACCAACAGTTAACTGTATTTACCTCTATTCATTTTACTGCATTCCTGCCTGTGTCTCCCTCTACCTTCTTTCCTCTGCTAACCTTCCTCTTGTATATTGTCTGCTCTGTCATCCATGATACATGCATCTACCCTCTAGCCCACGAACAATTTCCCTCTCTCCTCCAAGAAAAGGAGCTCTGGTAGCATAGTGGTTACGAATTGGGCTGCTAATCTCACAGTAAGCAGTTCTGCAGGAGAAAGATGAGGCTTTCTGCTCCCATAAAGATTTACAGCTTTGGAAACCCTGTACAGAGTCACTATGAGTCAGAACCGATTCCACGGCACATAACAACAACAACAAACAACCTCCAAGTAACCATCACAGATTCACAGATTGTTTCTTTTATCAAGAAAACATTTTTTTAAAAAAAAACAACAACTATTTACAACATTGGTCTCATACAATATTTGTTCTTTTGTGATTGACCAATTTCACTCAGCATAATGTCCTCCAGGATGAAGCATATTGTGAGGCGTTTCACAGATTCATCACTATTCTTCAACGTTTTGTAGTATTCCATTGTGTGTATGTACCCAAGTTTGCCTAACCGTTCTTCTGTTGATAGGTTGTCTCCATCTTTTTGATGTCTCCTGTAACAGCATATTGGAGGATCCTCTTTTCTTATCCATTCTACTCTCTGTCTTCTGACTGGTACATTTAATCCATTTACATTCACTGTAATTATCAACAGGTATGAACTGATTGATGTCATTTTTCTGAGTGGTTTTT